TTTTGGGTCAATCAGGAAAATAAAAAAATGGGTTTTCAAATAAAATGAAAAGTGTTATGCTTTTTTTTTGTGTGAAATGTATATTTTTATGGACTTGGGGTTGAGTTTTCTTTTGTGTGTTTTTTGCAGTCATTATATCTCTCCATGATCTACAGCTACACTGGAATCAGCAGCATCACTTAGTTAGCTATTACTTTGTTTTAATTTGTGTTTGGCAATTTGAAATTCCGTAAATTTTACAGAAAAATACGCCTCTTTAGTCTGGAATTGATTTGATTTGTTTTCATTTTTTTTTTTTTGGTTTCAATTGCGTTAACAAACAACACATCACATTGAGATATTCCATTTTATTAACGAATAGAAATGTAGGTAGTTGTTGAATCTTGACACATATTAGGAATTGATTTGGGACTTGGATTTTTGTTAATAGCAAACATTGATTTACAAAAATTGTTGATGATGAACTTTGATGTAATGTAATGTAATTGAATTAATTCGGTATTGCTGTATTTTTTTTTTGTGGTTTCTTGTTCTGTTTTGTTTTAAATTTTATAAAATAGTACATGAATAAGATCAATATTGTGTTTAATGTACTGAGGCCAAAATAAACACCCAAATGCAGAAATGATACTCCTAGGGGGGAGTACTAAAAAAATGTCTTCTAAGGAAATGCCGAGCCGGCTTGCCAGGAAAAAAAACGACTAAGACTTAAAAAAAACTTTTATATTCATAACCATGACATAGTTCGTAATGTGTTTAACAAAAGTTCAATACCTGCAGTGGACGAATTTAGCCTTCAGACAAAGCACATCCTAATCTTATTTTTTATATAATTTATGATGATATTTTATCACAGCGAAATCACAAATAGACAAATAGGTAAATTCTGACCGTTAAGTAGATGCCGATACAATGTATATATACATTGGAAGGGGATGTTTGCTAGAATGCGTATATCTTAAGAGTGGCTGGACCGATTTTGACAAATTTTTTCAATTCATAATGCCTTCTTGGCGTAAAAGAATAAAATCTGAAGAAGTTACATAAAAAGATGCCAATAATGATGTTAATAGAGATTTTGTAGTATTTTGTGACATTTTTTTAATTTTTTCATTTTTTATTATATACCTATCGCATGCAATTTTTTCAATTTGACTTAAAATATTGAAGTGTATATTTTGTAATATTTGTTCACCTTAAAACACAGGTTGGGGTTATTATATACAGATTGCAACTATCATCCGATCCTCACGAAAATTTTAGGGTAGGGTTAGGCTCAGAAGGGTTAGGCCCATTATTTTTAAAGATGTCCGCATGATATGTAGGGTTTGAAATGGACAACAAACAATGTTCCTGATTTAGACAAGCAAATCATATAGATGGGTCTAAATTTGGAGATATAGAGGGGCATCTTGCTTTTGGAGATGATCGCAAAATATTTAGGTGTAAAAATGAAACAAAAACAGACAAAATTTCCTAATCACACAATTGAAGCCAATCGACACGCCTGAGAAGAGAGTTAGGTTAAATTATAATATAAAATGGACCACAATGACTAACAGCACGACGGAGTGCGTAAATATTGGCCAAATGTCCCTGGTCAAAATGCTAGGGGTAACATCTGGGCAGTGCTCCGTAACATAATTCAAAAGCGAAATCTTCCAAAATGGATTTGGACATAAGGGGGCTTCAAACATATTATAGTTTTTTAGGGTATCACATGGTAGGCCCTGCACGACTATAGCCTTTGCTTACTTGTTTAATATTTTCTCACAAATTGCAACGTTTTTCTCACAAATTGTATGATATTTGTATTTGTGGTCTTAGTAACCATGACCCCCAACTGAAACATGTCAGCATACTTAGAGAATTTATGTGACTTTAGCCACATTTTCAATCGAATGGCTAAGTGTTTGATTTTCGTAACGGGTATCAAATCCTTTAACAAGAAAAAAATAAATCCGTCCAAATGTTTTAAAGGCTCCTAAAAAAGGTATTATTACTTATTCGGCATTTGAAAGAATTTTCCAACATTTTTTTCATGGGATTGTGTACAATTTGGCAGTTGGAGCTCTTCTTGGGCACCAGTCTCTCGCCAACAAATTATCTTAATAGGTCCATCATTTTATATGGTCTCCATATTATTGATCGTATTACAGTTTTGGTGAAAAATTATCTTTATAGGTACACGGTTCCATTATAAAGGTACAACTCGGAATTCTGTATTTGGTTTGTAAAAATAATTGGGAATGTTTTGCATTTGGCCAAATTTTCCATTATCTCATATAAGTGGATGTACTTAAGGCTGTTTGTATAAACTCGATTGTATGGTTACAGAGGGTTTATCTCATCCGATAGGTCAAAATATATGTTTGGCTAGCTGTTGCGTAAGTCGGTCTGTCTGTCTGGCTGGATGGTGCGCACGATACCTCTTGAAAGGAGCATTCGATTTGATACAAAATTGGTATATGGTAATGTTATTGTCAGACGTAGATCGAGTTCGAATATGGGCAATATATGTCCACTCCTTCTGATACCTCACTTACAAGAGGTCAAATTTTTTACAGAAAATAATTTTCCGTACAAAACAAGAACGGATCATCCAAATTTTTTGAAATTTTGAAAATACCAATATTTGTATCAATGCTATGTCACGTGCGAAAATGGACAATATCAATCTACTCCAACATGTACCTCCCACACAAAGGATCAACATTTTGAATAATTATAACTCTTACAAAATAACAAGTAAATATCCGATTCTCTTCAAATTCCACACATCCCCATCAACACTAAATCATATATGAAGATATTGATTCACTTCTTCCAGTATTGATATTGATCCACTTCTTCCTGTACCTCTCTTACAACGGGTCAAAATTTTTAATAACAATGGAGCTCATAAAAAGCGAAATGAGCATCCGACCACTTTCAAACCCGACACATTCCAATATTTCTACTAACACAAAATCTAGTGTAAAGATGGTATATTTGATCCACTCCTTCCGGTACCTCTCCCACAACGGGTCAAAATTTTGAATAACCATGAAGCATATTAAAAGCGAAACGAGCATCCGACCACTTTCAAACCCGACACATTCTAATATTTCTACTCACACAAGACCAGGCGGAAATATGTCGGAGCACTCCTTATGGTACACAAAGGGTCAAAATATGAAAAAATTATAGCTCTTAAAAAAAAGTTCCAATGTCGAATTTCGTACATCTCAATATTTCTACCAATACAAGATCTCGTATGAAGAACGGATGGAACGGAGCACTACTTCTTGTACCTTCTCCAAAACGGGTCCAAATTTTAAAAAATATTGAAGATCCTTTTTATGTATCGCCTTACAGTCTTTTTATCAAAACAAGATCTGGTGTGAAGACGAGATATATCGGTCCATTCCTTCTGGTACCTCCCCTCAAAGGGTCACCATTTCAATAACTGTATTTATCACAACTTGTATAACAAGTCAGAGATAATTGAAGTACCCACGCACATTTCAACATTATCCAAAAATTATCACATATCACCTATAGAGTGAAGGAAGTAGTCGATATAGTGAAAATCTGGCACGTTGTAATATTTATATCTGATTTGGGTCAGATACAAAATAAAAACAAGTAAAAAAGCTGTTGAATACCCTCCACCATTTGGTACCAATTTAAAAAAAAAATAAAATCCGTTAAAAATTCTGTTTAAATCTTAAAAATGCCGAATATAGCCGTATATTAGGGTCTATATGACGACGTGGACCTGCATAGGCAACTTTTGTCACAAGCTATTACAATATTCAAATGCGAAACTTGAAAAAAAAATCGGTTTATAATGTCGCTAAAATCATCAAAATACCGAATATAAGGAGGTACCGTTATATGTGGGCTATACGAAGACATGAACCTGCATAGACAATTTTCTGTTATAGGCTGTAGTATCCATTACGAACATTGAATACTTATTTTGAAAAAGTTCCGGTAAATAATGACTCTAAAATCATCAAAATACCGAATATCGGGTGGTACCGTTATATGGGGCCTATACGAAGATGGCTCATTTTCTGTCTTAGGATGAAGTATCTATTACGAACTTCAAATACTAAATTTGAAACATCCCATTTTCAATACCAAAAGTCCTGCAGACATAATAAATGTTTAAGTAAAATTTTATCAAGCTACTTCATTTCGTTCGGAAGCTAAAGTGATTTCCACAGACGGACAGACGGACGGACATTGTTAAATCGACATAGACTAGTGGGGACTAAAATGTATATTTCGAGGTGTTACAAACGGAATGACAAACTTAATATACCCTCCATACTATGATGGAGGGTATAAAAATTGGCCTACTCCTTTGGTATCGTCCAGGGTCAACATTTAAATAATCAAAATGCAAGTGAAACTTTATTTTGATAAATGGACATTGCCGAAGGTTATACATGTGTCGGCAAATTGGCTGAAGGTATATATCTGCCAAAACACCGGCTAAATTTTTTCACTTGTTGTTATGGATCCTGGCTGCAACTAGTTAACATCAGTAATCAATTTTAAAATTTTGACACATGTAGCAATATTTTGAATGAAGTGTCCGCAGTGAATCGGCGTCACAAATTTATTCCTACCCCTTGTGTACACTCAACACAATATCGATTATTCATGTTGCTCTCTCTCCCTAATCCTACAAACATATGAACAAATATATGAAATATATATTTTTAATTTTATATTGCAATAACGGTTCTTAATTAATTTTTGTTTGTGTACGTGATTTTGTAAAATGTTATTTTTGGATTATGAAAAATAGTTTTTATTTGTATGCATGTATTTTAATTATTCTCTCATTTATATGCTATGTATATTTATATTTGGGTTTTTATTTTTTTTTCTAAAGCTTTCAATCTTTGCCAAAATTTATTGCCTGGCCATTTCAATGTAATTTGGGGATAACCAAAAATTAATAACAAAAAATAAAACAAAAACTTACCATTTTCTAAGTGGAATCAAGGCAATAAGTCGTCGAAACTTAAAACAACAAAACAGTTGGGATTATTTTAATTTAAATAAGGGATTCCCCGGCAATTATTTGACAAACAAATCCTTGAGCGTGGAGCAAAGCGATGCATCACAGGTATCTTTGGTGTCATCCTCATCGGCCTTGCCAAACCAATTGAGGGTGGAGCGCACCGCATTAGCAGCCTGTGCCTGGGTGCGACTTCGCCTCGAGGAACCATAATCTTTGGGAACTGCACCGCCTTTGTTCGTCTTGCTGCCGCTGGAAGTGGCAGCTGTGCTGCTACTGCTGCCACTACTTCCCGATGGCCCTGAAGCTGAGTTTTTACGCAAGAATCCTTCTATGGCCGAACCAATTACCGTGGCATCAACAATTGTTCCCTTCGTATGATCTGTCCAACTTTTCTGTTTGCTTCGTGGCTTTAGCTTGGGTTTACTCTCGCGCAACACATCTTTGGCTTGTAGCTTTTCTAGGACATCTTTTGACAGAGCCATGGCGGTGCTTTTACTGCGTATGCTCTTTTTGCGAGCCATGGGCTCATGGCGATTTGCAAACCAACCCGACAAAGCTGCCGAACTATTATCCTGAGCATCACTGACCAATTGCTTAGCATTATTGAGTATCGAGACATCGAAACTATTGGACCTAGTCGAGCGGCCAGCATTGGGGTCCAATAGATTGGAACTACTGTGTGAGGGTGCCTGCAGTGTGGTCTTGGTTTTTGTTGCTGATGCCGAGGGTGGTGGTGTGGGTTTGTCTTCACATTTATGTATTTCAATGGCCGACGAAGTGAGATTGCTAAAAATCGAACCAATATCTGTGCGTCCACCTAAAAATCCTGAACTTTTCTTTCGCCTGGTCGAGGAACGATTGCTGGTTGGCTGGGTGATGCAGGGTGACATAACGGCGGGATGTTCGGAGGGTCTGCGATAGCTTGGTGTTGGTGATGGTGTGGGCTGAGCTGAAACGCATTCAGAATAGCGACGATTAGTGTAACGCTGTGGCGTTGTACCACCCACCTCATTTAGGGTTTCCACTTCGCACACTTTTTCACTGCTTGTGGTCCAAAGTTTCATGCGTGCCTTACGCGACTGTACGATGTCGTCCATAATGTCCAATTGCAGATTATGTATGCTGCCGATCGGATCGGTGGATGGTGGTCCAGTGGAGGTGTTGCTCTCCCGGCGAGAACCTATTAAACGACTGGTGAGATGGAAAAAAGGTTGAGATATTAAAAATTGGCATTAATGCCCATAATAAACCAACCAACCCCCTTCCCCAACTCACTTGTTTGGTAAGGCTGCAACGGATTCGCGACGTGCCCGGCCAAATATGGTTGGTGGGACTTTGGAAATGGTGACCACAGAATGACGCCTTCCAGAGGGTGCTGGAGCCTGTGAAAGGGTTGCAAGGAATGCGGCTTCCTTGGGCGATGGTCCAGATCCTTCGCCGCCCCGCTCCGACAGACGTCTGACCTGACTTGCTGTAATACCCTCGGTAACCTGCTGCGAGGGTAGCGAATGTTTGCGACTTTCTCTGGGATCTCGCCATGGTGATAACAAATAGGGATTAACAGGTGAATCAATGTCGAGACTGGCTTTATTCGAGGGTGTTTCAGAGCTTTCTTGATCATCTTCTTCGACAATTTGCGACTCATCGACAACAATCATGGGTTCCTGTTTGGCCATCGACCCAAAACGGGATATAGACGAGCGACGAAATCGAAAAGTATCTGGAAAGAAACAATGTGATGGGGGATTAAAAAGGGGTGGCAGATGTATACCATCAGCCTATGATTATTGTACGTCCTTTAAGTGAAAAATACCAAATGATGGCTACGATATTATTCTCTTCAAATTTATTATGAGACAGAAAGATTTATGACTAGGTGCGCATTTCGGCCTAAAATGGAAATATAGCATTGTAGGTTATATTCCAATTATTTTTAAAATATTGAAACTGTGTGGATATGAGGGTTGATTAGGAAATTGGGAGCGGTATCTTCTTAAGGATGAAAATTTTAATGGGAAGCTTGGGAGCCAAATTTCTAAAAATTACTTGATCGGAATTACAATGGTGAATTTCGAAAATTTTGATGATTTGAAAATGTCATGAACAACACGGTTCTGAAAATTATCATAATGAAATTTAAACACTATTCGTAGATTTAAAAAATCGCGTTCTTCATCATATTTTTCATATTTACTTTGGCACAAAAAAAAAAACCGGAATTATAAGAAGCAAGGAAATAAAACAATAATCCACATCAGACTGCTGTCATTTTTAAGCCACTCGTCCGGCAGCTGTCAAAATTATACCAGTGACAGCTCATTATATTGTTTACAAGCGTACAAAAGCATTTTGGTGACATTTTTCCAGTAAAAAGTTTTCGTGATGGAATTCAAACGTGATAGTGTGATTTTTTTATATTTGTCTGGGAAACCATAAGTGACTATCGTTAGAGCACTCCAGCATTGAAATGTGAATAAATCTCTTGTGTCTCTAACCATCGCTCGTTACCGTGATACTGGTAGCGTAGGCCGACGTCATGCAAGTGGATGGAATAAAACATCAACATCAGCAGAAATGGTTCGAAAAGTAAAGAAGCGACTTGATCGAAACCCGCGTCGCAGTGGCCGAAAAATGGCTCGTGAGCTGAACATATCGCAATATTCCATTCGGCAAATATTGAAGAATGAGCTCGGGGTAAAGCCATAGAAAATCCAAAAAGTGCAAGAACTTTTACCGCAACAAAGAGAAAATAGACTCAAAAGAGCTAAAGAGTTGCTTCGCTTGGCCGAAAATGGTGAACTGCCGAATTTGGTTTTCTCCGATAAGAAAATATTCGTTGTCCGGCAGTTTGTAAACAAACAAAATGTTCGTATTTACTTGCCAAAGAGGTCAGCTGAAAATGAAAAAAAAAAAAAAAAATGTGCACCTTCGGTTGGCTACCAAGACTCAAGCGCCGGCCATGGTGATAGTGTGGGCCGCCATAACAACCGATGGTCGCTCTCCGCTCGTATTTATCGACCGTGGCATCAGAATAAATGCCGAATATTATCGCGAAAATCTTCTGGTGGGTGTATTAAAACCTTTGACCAACAGGACAGGCACAGCACCATCGCACTCAGCAGGCGCCACCCAAGAATAGGTACAAAATGAGGTTCCTCGCTTCATTTCCAGCGCACAATGGCCACCAAAATCTCCGAATACCAATCCGTTGTACTATTGTGTTTGGAGTATTTTGGAAAGAGAGGTTGGCACTAAAAATATCAAAGTGTCGATCACCTTAAGCAAGCGTTTCGCCGGAAATGGGCCAAAATACCGCAGAGCAACATTCGGGCAGCGTGTGACGGTTTCATTGGCCGTTTAAAGGCCATAATTCATGACAAAGGTGACAAATTCGAACAAATCTTAACTTATTCAAAAATTTGATGCTATTTCCGACATTTTTTGCTTCTATTCAATAAATTTAAAAATATATATATAAAAATTATGGCGTTTGAATTTGTTACAGTTTTTTATCTTACCCTGTACATGCACTGCATCCAAATCTAAACTGAACAAGTATTTGTGAGCTACATGGGATATGTGGTACCTAATATCATTGTTACGAATATCGGATACTTGAATACCAAATGGGATGAATATCCAAAATAACTGAACCTATTTTCACAAAATTTGAATTTTTTGCTCGTGGGCTGAATTTGATCGGATGTGCCGAAATCGTTTCCATTTGGGCGAACGTAGCCCATATTGTGCCTCATCGAAATAACGCGTTTAAACTCTAGGTTTCGTTGGACCAAATCCGTTTCAGGTCATTTGGATTCGAAGTAGAGGTGTCCGTCCGTTTGTCTAGCTGGCTGGTGCTCACGATAACTCTCGAAGTGATTATCCATTTTAGTTCACACTTGGTACATCGCCATACTATTGTCAAAGAGTTCGGAGATGGACAATATCGGTCTACTCTTTCTGGTACCTCCCACATAAAAGTTCAGATTTTTTACAGAATATGATCGTATAAAACAAGTAAGGAACATCCAATTTGCTGCAAACTTTTCAAATCCCAATATTTGTATTAGTGCTATGTCAGGCGCAAAAATGGACAATATCGGCGCAGTTCATCATGTACCTCCCCCACAAAGGGTCAACATTTTCAATAATTACCATCTGACTGTCTTCAAGTTTCGAATATTCCAATATTTTTAATAACTCAAGTTCTGGTGTGGAAATGATAGATATCGGTCTACCCCTTCTGGTACTTCCCCCAAAAGGGTCAACATTTTAACTACTTATATATATTATAACTTGCGAAATAAGTCAGTGACTCTATTCAAATTGTATACATCTAAATATTTCTATTAACCAGATAGCTGATTTGAATATGGAATTTATTGCCTCATTCCTTTTCGTACTTACCCCGCAAGAGGTTAAACTTATTATTAACAATTATCCCCAAAAAATGGAATGGAAGGGTCTTACTTCGCAAGAATAATTTTTGCAGATATAGTGTTTGCTTCCATAACGTTTCAATTATACTTTATGGGAATGCTTACTTTCCATTTCAGTTGAAGCAATAAATCTGAATATTTACAATTTTACAAATTAATATAATTAAATCATACACTAAATGATGGGAATGAAAATATTTCAATAATTGTTCGTTTATACCAAATCGCATTCCCTTTCAGTTTACTTTCTCTAGAATTATTACAAAATAACCACATATACCCACAATACACAATATGTGGTTCAATATTCGGGATGCAAGCAAGCTAGCAATCATTTGATATCCTTTTATAAATCTCACTTTACTCTCTTCACTGCAAATCGTCGGATAAACGACTAACATTCATAGAGAATATACAAACATGCATCTACAGTTATGTATGGAACAACATCAATATATCAAATCAATCATATTTGGGTTAAAAAAAAAGTTATTTCAATAACAATCGACGTGTATGGATACTTCAATTTTTTGAACACAAAGGATTTTCGCAAAGGGAAAAAGGGATATTTATGAAGAGGATTTTTGGAGAAATGAATTTATATCAAAAGGAGTAAATGTAAAATTGATGGTTGAATTCTATCAATATTTTGTGGAGAAATATTGAAAATAAATTAAATATTTTTGGAATATTTTGTTTAGTTTTTAATTGATTTCATACAAGTATATAAAAATATGTTACAATTTAATCGGTATGGGGTGTATACATTTTTATTTATTGCTGTGCAACTACGACTTACAATTAAGTCGTTATTATACCCTACACAACATAGTGGCAAAGGTGTTATGTCTTTGTGCATTTGTTCGTAACATGAAGAAGGAGGCGAGATAGACACATAATTACTTTTGAGCATCTTCATAGAATCAATTTCTGTGTCGATTTATGCATGTCTCTCCGTGTATTTTTGTAAACAAAATGCAGGTCGCATTTATGATTCGATTGATATAAAATTTTCCACAAATTATTTTCTTGGCCCAAATACGAACCCTATTGAAATTGGTGAGGACCGGTTCAAATTTATTTAAAGCTCCCATATATCTTCAGCCGATTTCGGTAAAGATATAGCTATAGCTATATATTTCTTCCGATTTTGTGTTTTAGTCCCCCACATTCGTAATATGCACCCTACAAGAATGATATTTGGTATCAGATTTGGTATATCAGGTACAGCTGAGAAATGAGTGCCTAATTTTTTTACGATCGGTTTAGATTTGAGCACTTCTCCCATATATATCTTTTTCCTATTTTAGGTTTTTTTGTGCATCAAATGGCTAATATCAACCCAAATGGACTGAATTTTAGCACTTCCGACTGAATTCGTACTAAAAACAAGTACTTCAAATTTTGGTAAAAATCGATTCAGTCAAACGCCACAATTTTTACATTTTTTAAAATTTTATTGAATGAAAGCAAAACATATCGGAAATAGCATCAAATTTTGGAATAAGTTTTAGATTTGTTCGAATTGGTCACCTTTGGCACGAATAATGGCCTTCAAACGGCCAATAAAACCATCACACGCTGCCCGAATGTTGCTCTGCGGTATTTTGGTCCATTCCCGGCGAAGCGCTTGCTTGAGGTGATCGACACTTTGGTATTTTTTAGTGCCAACCTTGCTTTCCAAAATACTCCAGACACAATAGTCCAACGGATTGTTATCCGGAGATTTTGATGGCCAATGTGCGCTGGAAATGAAGCGAGGAATCTCATTTTGTGCACTGGAAATGAAGCGAGGAACCTCATTTTATAACCATTCTTAAGTAGCCCGTGCTGAATGCGATGGTGCTGAGTCCTGTTGGAATGTCCAAGGTCTGCGGTCACAATGTTTGCAAGCCCAAGGCTTTAATACACCCTCCAAAATATTTTCCCAATAATATTTGGCATTTATTCTGATGGCACGGTTGCTGTTATGGCGGCCCACACCATCACCATAGCCGGCGCTTGTGTTCTGGTGGCCAAACGAAGGGGCACATTTTCAGCTGACCTTTTTGACAAGTAAACCCGATAATTTTGTTTGGACAACGAATGTTTTCTCATCGGAGAAAACCAAATTCGGCAGTTCACCACTTTCGGCCAAGGGAAGCAACTCTTTAGCTCTTTTGAGTCTATTTTCTTTCTGTAGCGGTGAAGGTTCTTGCAATTTTTGGAATTTTAATGGCTTTACCCCGAGCTCATTGCTCTATATTTGCCAAATGGAAAACTGCGATATGTTCAGC